TTCACTGTGTATATATAAAGTGGGTGGTGTGGGTAATCATTCAATCTAGAATATTTTCAATTGTTGATTCATTGATTGATTTGTTGATTTGTGAATTACCCGAAACCCACATTTTCATGAATTTGAAGAAACTGTTAGGATACAAAGGTAACAAGACACAAATGTCTTAGTCCCAGTAAATGAAAGAGCATTTAAAAAATGAAATATTTTACTTTTCTGAAAAATATTATTCAATATTGAATATATGTACCGGTAGGTAGTTTCAAACATGGAATATAGTTCCTGTGGAAGGATGCACTTTTGCCAGCACATACAATTTGCACTTCTAAAAAAACGGATGTTTGCGCTGAACAGTCATCACTATGAAGGGAGAAAAAAATGTCAAGTGTCCAGCTGACCTTCCTCATCCCCTTGTGTGTCAAACAGTTGGTTCCTAAGCAGTACAGTTGCACCTGTTACCAGTGTAAAGCCAGCCGACAATAACACCCAAAAAAAACAATAGAAGCTAGCCGACCATAATGACCCGCCATTATAACATCATAAGATTCGCCCAACTGTGAATTTGCTGTAAACACGAAATAACGGTAGGGTGATTTGAAACAGAAGATATCGCCTATAAAATGTTTCATGAAGACTATGCAATATATGGCATGGCATTCATAAAGTGAAATTTGTGTTGAATAGTATTTAGTGTTGAAGAGTATTGTCAGCGACCTTTACACTGTGCAAAGGTTGACTGATATCTGATGCCGAACTTCTGAGAAAATACTGGTATTGCACAGACACACATGCTCACTTAGAATCTTGATAACGAGTAAGAATAGGATTCTTCCCTGGCTGGGTAAACGTGAGAATACAAGTTCTTAAAAATAATACTGGTTAAACTGGTTAAACTTTAGGTTGAAACAATTTATGACAACAAATTTCAAACTAGAACCTCATTGCATGAATATAATTAACATGTCATACTTTATGTACTGTACACAACCCAACTATCCTTATAGAATCATAAATTATGAATTTTGCAGTACTCCAACTTTTTGCCATAAAATATCATTTATACTACATAATAAAATTAACATCTATGGTTACTGCTCTATTTAAGGGTTTTATTTGTGCCCCAAAGAAAATTGAGGATGTTTTTAGTTTTAGTAAATGGACCCCCCGATTATCCATATATACCTCACCTCACCAGTATGCAAAATGTTAAAATAGTTGATGATTAAAAGTAAAATCTCTATTTTTGGCCTAACAAATCTTGGTTAATATAATAACATCTGGTGTTCATGAAGCAGTTCCTGTGCACTTATTTTTTTGCCCAATAAATGTTTTAGTTTAGTCAAATTTGAACTCATGACAACTATACTGTGTTGAGTTTATAGTGTAACCATAAAGGAGGACAGTTTACCAATATCGTAAAAACTATACATAAAACACTTGACAAAATTGAACTTGCCCAGGATCCCATTGAAAGAGATAGATTAAAACATTTTGAGACAGATGATGACAATAATGATGACAGACTTTTTTGGATCCCTCCCCCTTATCTATGAGCAAGATAAAAAGCTTAAAAAGTACTATGTGCTGAGCCATCTATTTAAAGATAAATAATCAAGGCATGATATAGATACAGGAATTTACAAATTAAAATTAATTAAATGAAATTAAAACTACAATTCCATATACATCTTAAAAACTAATTGTTTTGATCTTGTTGAATCATACATTGCAAACCTATTCTGGATATGGTGAATTAGGCCGATGAACAAAAATTCTGTGTTTCCGGTAACCCTACCTACCCACATTTTAGGTAAAATCAGAAAGTTTATTTTATGCAAATTAGCTGCACAAATTTAATTTTTATGCAAATTAGTTAAGTTTTATCACATTTAGCAGTCACAACTATTCTGTGTACAAAAATGTCCTCATATTATTTTCTAAAAATTACCAAAAGTTGACAGTTGATTCCATCATGTGATAATAATTGTGTAAAATACACCAATGTAAACAGAAGATTTTGGGGGAAAAATAAATAAAAAATAAAATTAATATCCCTACCTACCTACCCAATATTATTTTAGCCCGTTACTGGAAACACAGATTTTTTTCTTGGCTTTAATTCAGTTATGTATGCAAATGAGGTCATTACATATTTTTGACATTGATTACTGTAAAGTCCTAAATTATGCAAATTATAGTAAATAGTCAGGTTTAAACACCTCCTATATTGAATTTGAAGAGTGCTCAAGTAGAAATTAAATTACACCATACAAACAGACAGAGACGGAGACAGACAGGACAGGCAGGCAGACAGACAGACAGACAGACAGACAGACAGACAGACAGACAGACAGACAGACGGGCAGACAGACGGAGACAGACAGGACAGACAGACAGAGACGGAGACGGAGACAAACAGGACAGACAGAGACAAAGTCAGACAGGACAGGACTAGACAGGACCAGACCAAACCAACCAGACCAGACCGGACCAGACCAGACAGAACCAGACGAACGGACCAGACAGACGGACTAGACAGGACAGGACCAGGCAGGACAGAACTAGACAGGACCAGACCAGACAGGACATGACATGACATGACATGATAGGACCAGACGGAACCAGACTAACGAACCAGACAGACGGACTAGACAGGACAGGACCAGACCAGAGAGGACAGGACCAGACCAGACAGAACCAGACGAACGGACCAGACAGCCGGACTAGACAGGACAGGGCAGGACCAGGCAGGACAGGACTTGACAGGACCAGACCAGACCGGACAGGACATGACATGACATGATAGGACCAGACGGAACCAGACTAATGAACCAGACAGACGGACTAGACAGGACAGGACAGGACCAGACCAGACAGGACAGAACCAGACCAGACAGAACCAGACGAACGGACCAGACAGACGGACTAGACAGGACAGGGCAGGACCAGGCAGGACAGGACTTGACAGGACCAGACCAGACCGGACAGGACATGACACATGACATGACATGACATGACATGACATGACATGACATGACATGGCATGACATGACATGACAGGACAGGACAGGACAGGACAGGACAGGACCAGACGAACGAACCAGACAGACAGACTAGACAGGACAGGACCAGACCGGACCAGACCAGACGGAACCAGATGAACGGACCAGACAGACGGACTAGACAGGAAGGACCAGACAGGACAGGACTAGACCGGACCAGACCAGACCAGACTGGACCGGACCAGACCAGACCAGACCAGACCAGACCAGACAGACCAGACCAGACCAGACCAGACCAGACAGGACAGGACAGGACATGACATGACATGACAGGACAGAACCAGACGGAACCAGACGAACGAACCAGACAGACGGACTAGACAGGACAGGACAGGACAGAACAGGACAGACAGGACAGGACCAGACCAGACAGAACCAGACGAACGGACCAGACAGACGGACTAGACAGGACAGGGCAGGACCAGGCAGGACATGACTTGACAGGACCAGACCGGACATGACATGACATGACATGACATGATAGGACCAGACGTAACCAGATGAACGAACCAGACAGACGGACTAGACAGAACAGAACAGGACCGGACCAGACCGGACCAGACCAGACAGAACCAGACGAACGGACCAGACAGACGGACTAGACAGGACAGGGCAGGACCAGACAGGACAGGACAGGACAGGACGGAACCAGACGAACGAACCAGACAGACGGACTAGACAGGACAGGACCAGACCAGACAGAACAGAACCAGACCGGACCAGACCAGACGGAACCAGATGAACGGACCAGACAGACGGACTAGACAGGACAGGACCAGACAGGACCAGACAGGACCAGACCAGACCAGACGGAACCAGATGAACGGACCAGACAGACGGACTAGACAGGACAGGACCAGACAGGACCAGACAGGACAGAACTAGACAGGACCAGACCAGACCAGACCAGACCAGACCGGACCGGAGTAGACCAGACCAGACCAGACAGGACATGACATGACATGACAGGACAGGACCAGACAGAACCAGACGAACGAACCAGACAGACGGACTAGACAGGACAGAACAGAACAGGACAGGACAGAACAGGACCATACCAGACAGGACAGGACCAGACCGGACCAGACCAGACGGAACCAGACGAATGGACTAGACAGACCGGACCAGACGGGACAGACAGACAGACGGACCAGACAGGCAGGACAGATGGACCAGACAGACGGGACAGATGGACGGATCAGACCAAATTGAAATAGAGTGAATCTGCTCTAACCTGATCTTTGACACATAAAGCATAAATTTAAGTTACTTTATGCATAGCCAAAACCTTTGGCATGAACAATTCCAAACACCATATCCTGAATAAAGTTCTCATAAGACCTATATACAACAGGCAAATGTAGGATACAGCTGCACGTATTGGCCTTTGGAAATCGAGAGAGCTCTCCCTCTGCACCATCTTTGCCTAGCTCTTTATCATGCAGGAACTGAATTTCTAGCCGTGTTCCATATACCCATTCCTTTAATCCTGTGCTAAACATCAGTATTTGACTTAGTGTTATATTCAGTTCTTCTTCTGCAGCCTGAAGAAAATCAGCAAAATATCCTAATATGTTGCTCTCAAGGTTGTATTTATTCGAGCCAATTTCACTTCTGGTATACAATACAGTCTCTTTGTTTTCAAACATAGCAGCCGTAAGGGGAAGAGCAGCCTCACAGAAAACAGCTTTGAAACTCCCAGGGTACTGCTGGATTGCTTTGAGAACACCTAGTGTCGATAGTCCATCTCGGAATTGGTCAAATGCTGGTCGGTTCCTTCCATACATATACCATTTAACTGTGGCAAGAATCATATCTTCCTTGTCTTCTTCATGTGAAACCAATCTCCAGGTCCCAGCCAATTCAATAAGGTTCTCCAGGCTAGTATTTTGATTCAATACATCATGCACCTTGTCAAGGTCAGAATTCTTTAGTTTCAGCAAATCATCTTTAACAGTTTAGTTTTCAGGAATGTAGGTTTCACATCCAACGGACCAACCACTAAAGCGTTGAAAAACTGTTCTTAGAAACAGTGAGGGGCTGGATCTCCATGTACAATCGAAATGGCTAACATTTGCCCTGCCATATAGTACTCATTCTCATCAACACATTTGGTAATACCAGAAATTGATTTGCTGCCAGTGGCACCATCTAGAAGTTGTGAATTTACAATATGTTCAGTGCAAAGG